GGGGGGGGGCTGCCCCACATACTCATCCCCTGCCCCACATGCTGGGAGGCTTGGGGGGCAGTGGGGCAGAAGTAAGGTGCACTGGGTCAGGACTGGCCACTGATGTTTACAAATGGGTCCTGGAACGAAAAAAGGTTGAGAACCACTGAACTACAGAATCAGAAGCGAGCATCCAGTGCTGTCAGGCATTCTGGCTTGCCTCGGCTACATGGCTGGAACAGATGCTTCCTCTGGAGCAAGCTCCTTCAGCCTCCTCCAGCAGGAAACAGAAGAAAAGTTCTTTTTCTTGACCATGAATATAAACAAATGGCACTGAGAGACAGACACCCTCAGTATTCACTTGCATTACCTTTTCTAAGAAGCTGTCTTCTCCCTGAGTGTAGAGCAGGAAAGAAAGAGGAGGAAAGGGTCATTAGCAGAGAGAATCTGATTTAGGATTATCCAGAAACAGAATCAGCATGATGAGAACCCACCAGCACTGACTGTCATTTACTTCTCATGTTTTGCTGACACCACTAAAGTTTAAGCTACAGCTGAAGATTTGGGTCCCAATTAGCAGAGCCCCTGTTCACATGATGTGAAGCCATGTCAGGATTTCAGTGAGCATCCTTAAATGGTTTTGTACCACTGCTCAGTACTTGGCAGACATCCAAGCCAGTTGCAGGAGGACATATTTGGGATCGGTGCCTGTGTGAAAGCTCTTGCCCATTTCCCTTCTTGTAGCTCTACAATCATAATCAAGTGTCCTCATACAACCGCACCTGTCCATCTTCTTCCAACCAATAGTTGGTGAGTTAGAGACACTCATGAGCAACACTGTATGAGGTTAGGAAAATGACCAGATAAACAAGCTTCAGCTTCATGGTAAGAAACACCATCTCCTCTTTGTAAGGCACTTGTCACCAGCAACTGTTCCAAGCCATTTCTAGCTGGGCGCACAGCGATACATCAGCCACTCCTGAAACGCAGTAGCCATGTAGCAGTGCACAACACCATAATTTAGAATCATAGAATCAGTGAGTCAGAAGGGACCTAGACAGATCATCTAGTCTGACCCCCTGCCATGGGCAGGAAGGAGCACTGGGGGTGGCAGGGGTCATAAGACCCCAGCCAGGTCCCTATCCAGTCTCCTCTTGAAGATTTCCAGGGAAGGTGAGAGCACCAGCTCTCTGGGGACCCTATTCCAGGCTCTGGCCATCCTTACTATGAAGTAGTTCTTCCTGATATCTAACCTATCTTCCCTCAGCTTGTGGCCATTGTTCCTGGTGACTCCAAGGGGGGCCCTGGTGAACAGACTTTCCCTAAGTCCCTGCTGCTGGCCCCCGATAAGGTTGTAGGAAGTCACAAGATCCCCCCTCAGTCTCCTCTTGCGGAGACTGAAGAGATTCAGGTTGCTCAGCCTCTTCCCATAGGGCTAGCCATGGAGGCCCCCAACCATACGAGTGGCCTTCTCTGCACCCTCTCCAGGTTCTCCACATCCTTCTTGAAGTGCAGCGTCCAGAACTGGA